AAGAAAGAAAGAAAGAAAGAAAGAAAGAAAGAAAGAAAGAAAGAAAGGTACACGTGAACCAAAGAACTTTTTTTTCATATAGGAGGGAAGGAGGAAGGAGCAATAGCTTTTCTGCCTTATCACAAGAATAAAGAATTGTCTCAGCTAGATCACACATTAAAGAATTGAATCTTCCCACTTCTTCAGAAAACAGTTCTGGTTTAGCCCATCCTAGTGGTTGAGGAAATTTGGAAAGATATTGACATACATCAGTTGACATATGACATTAGATATGTCATCGAGAAAGCAATATTCCTTCTTCTTATAGAACCCCATTATTTCAGTTCAAAAAATGAGGATGTGTGTATATGTGTATATTTATGTGTTTCTGTTAGCAATTAAAAAGAATTAATAGCACTTGTTTGTCATCTGAAAACATACTGAAAATGTGAGCTCTTTTAAAATAACATCAAGCATGTTAGAAAATTAAGAAGAGAAAGTTCATCTTATACCTTTTAAAATAAAGACAGAAAAAGTGAAATGTGATACCATGCTTTAGTTTCTATGGTCAGTTTTCAGCCCAGTTGATTTCCAGCAGAAACAGTGGGATGTAAACATCAAATCCTAAGTGTGTGTGAGAACTGGTCCCAACGAGGCCATGTGCTAATCTATTTTTTTGGAAAAGTAATTTCAGAACGATGAGTTTTGGAATACTTGGTATAGGAATCATTGCTTAAAGATTAGGTAGATGATTTCTGAGTGTTGTTCAGGTTAGGTTGTGGTTTCTATTTTTACTCAGAAGGTCAATTAGCAGGAGGTTTGGGAGGACTCCAAAGATAGTGTCATATCAATTGATTTTAATCTAATTAAGTCCTTCCAAGAATCTGTAGATCCGTGTTTCATTCAGTGCTCTTGGGCAGGGAGCCCTTTTAATTTAACGACTTTGAGCCTGTTGGCTGTCTTGATAAACTATTATATATATGTATAAATATGCGTATATGCATTGTGTCTGCATATATGTATATACATACATATACTATTCTGAGCCCCCATCGAGGCTAGGTGAAGGTATATATAATATCTACCAATACCATAGCCTTGGAAGCGTAGACTGTACATTTAAACAGGCTGATAGTTTAGTATAACACAGCCCTGAGTAGACATCATTCACCCTCCAGTTTTCATTCATGCCATCCATGTGTGTAGGAAGGGGAAAGATAGAAAACCTTCTAGAAAAAAAGTTTTTATTGCAAAATGTTATAGGCTTTCTTGATATGTTAGGGGGAAAAAAAGAATTAGGTGGTTAGAATTTGGCCTTGAGTCAAATTGAACAATTAATATATTTTTTAAAGTGTGACCTGTGTATTTTTGTGTGAACGTTTATCCAAAAAGTAGGTAAAGCCAAATCACGCTTAGCCTTGGCCAGGCCCTTTTGTAAAGCTTCCACCATACATATCTTTCAGCTTTTCCTTCGTTGTTGACCTTCCTGTCATACTGCTGACCCAACCAAAATTTACAGAAAACCGTACCTTAGCATGCCAGGAGAGCAGAGTCTTTCTGACTACAGTGTATAAACTGGTTATAGTTCATGGTTTCTAGCTGCATTAGTAAAATTAGGACTTTGTCTATTAATGGAAGTGAGGGGAGTGGGAGGGACAATTGTTAGTGTTTGGGATTTATTTTTAGCTCAATTTTTGCAGATATACATACTGTAGACACCTTTCCCCATGACTTCATTAACATCCAACCCCAACTGTGCAGCTAGACAGACTGTGTGCTCTGGGGCCCATTCAGATAAGGAAGCAGCCTTTTAATGAAGATGAAGCTGTGTGGGGAAGGTGGGCAATCCCCAAAAAGTGCAGCCAGCTGAGAAAAGAAAAATGTCAGATCTCTATTGGGCAAAAATGGAAGAGGAATGTAAAAAATATTCAATTCTTTTGCCAAAGCTACAACCCTAAGTATTTGATAGAGTTTACTTTTCAGCACCTTGTATTCTCTAATACCTAATAGAAAGAGTCTGAGCCTTTCATGGCAATGTCAGTGTTACTTGGTTCAAAGTAAAAAAAAAAAGTCATTATTGTTTCAGTTGGCCCAAGCCTATCCCATATAACTGTTCATAAAGAAACCCAAGGGACTGAAAAATCACTCACTTGCACCATTATCTTGCACAGAGAGTAGTTTTCACTCAGAAATTTCTGTCACCATCTAGAAAATATCTGCTAGAATATTATCCTAAGTCTTCATGCCCGATCTTATAAGATTTTAATTATTTAAAAAATTAAATCAATACAAAATAAATCTAAAGACTAAACTTTTTTTTTTAGTATATGCCCTAGGTCATGATTATATTCAAATGAGATAATATGTGTGAAACATTTTATAAATCTTAAAATGTTGTATAAACAGAAATGATTTATTGTTATTATAATTACCAGAAAGGTTTCAAGATATCCTTTAGAAACAAGAAGACACATATTCACAATCCATGGTAGGGTTTAAGGTCCTGAGAATGTTTCTGGCTCCCTTTTCCTCAAGTCTTGTGCTGACAGTGACCTCAAGTTTCTGTTCTGTATACTTATCATAGATCACGGAAGTGATTGCTGGGGCACAGATATGTCAGAACATATGCAAAAAAACAAAACAAAACATCCTTTTCAACTTGGTCAGAAAGGGACCAAAGTAAGTCACTTTTGATTCCTATAAAACCTGCATAGAAAAAATAAATTCATTTGGCTCACTGGCTTTGCCTTACAACATAGTGGAAAGAACTGACCAGGTTTTCATAAACAACCTTTGGAGTCATCAAAGATGTGGTAAAATAATGACCGGAAAGAGCTTGTGACCTCCCGAATCAGCTTGATTCTGTCAGTAAAATGAAATTGTGCCATTCCCAGAATACCAAAAAGACTGTACTGTTTCATTGTTGCCAATTCTTAATAACAAAATATCAAAGAAAAACATTTAAAGCCAAATTCTGCCTTCAGCTATAATGGGCGGTAGTACCTAGTACAATGCCCGCCTTGTAGTGTTCAAAAAATGTTTGCCTATGATATAATATAACGCTTACCCACAGGGAAGATTGAGTCTTTCCTGTTAAAAGCCTAAGGTGGTGAGAAGTAGGTATTATTATTGCCGTTTTACAGAGAAGGAAATTGAGGGTCAAGTTGACTTGCACAAGGTCATACACAACTAGTAAATAAAAGGCAAAGGAGACATCTAGGTGACACAGTGGATAGAGCGCCAGCCCTGGAGTCAAGGGAACCTAAGTTCAAATATGACCTCAGACACTTATTAGATGTGTGACCCTGGGCAAGTCACTTAACTCCAATTGCCTCCAAAATTAAATAAAAAAGGCAGAGCTGGGACTTGGACCTAGTTTTTTGTGTCTCTAAGACACATCCTATTTCTGCTAAGCCACACTGCCTCAGTCTATATGTTTAAGAGTATTTGCTTCTGGTATTTTTTTTAATAGAGAAAATTGTACCAAAGCTCATAGAAAACCCCACATGATCGTCAAAGAACTCTGCCGAGTCCCAATGGTGTATCTAGAGGACGTTTGGGAAGTGAGGGGCAAAATATTCTCAGTTTGAGTTCAGGCTGAACCCCAAAATCAAGAATAAAAGTACTGAAAACTAAGCGTCCTCTAGAACAAAAGAAAGGAAAAATTCCATAAGCAGATACCGGAAATAATCAGCACACGATGTCTCTAGCTCAACAAGATTAGACACTATTAAGATTACACAGGAAATGGGAGCAGGGGATGCTACTGTTTATCTCAAAAAGGATTACATCCTTCCAGCCTCCTGTTACTTTCAATAAAAAAAGACAGGATATTGTCTCTCTTCTGCTATTGATTCTTTGATAGGTTTTCAAATTTGCCACACTTCATCCTTTGTGTGATTCCATTTGTCTGAACTGTGTTGCATTTTTATGAGCTACTTTGTCACACACAGTGTCTCGTCCCTTCCAACACAAACTTGAGTAACCCCCACTTTCCAGAGTACTGTATACAAACTGCAGTTGCCTTGACATCACAAAACAGGAGCTGTCTCTGTGGTTTATATGTTCAGTAGGAAATGGTGTTTCACCAAAAGGACTTTTCTTTTCAGAGTTGCCATGAAGGCTTTAGAAACTGGGACTGATGGAACTGAGTTTAGAAAACTATGGACTTCCGATAATAGTTACAAAGAACACAGTCTGGATGTGTCCGGAGATGTTTAAGTCTTGTTTGCACAGACGTTTGCCTCCATCATCATTTTTGTCATGGTGCATTTGGGGTATAGTGTTGTGCTTTTAACCTGCAGTGAAGAATGGAGCAGTTGACACGGTGTCACCTGTGTTACTCAGACAAATCTGTATTTGAGCAGCTCTCAGAATTGGAGTGAAGTATAGTTAGCTTATTAGAATTCTTTTATGATATTGATATCGTGCATAACTGAATTTTGGGAGTTACTTTGTGTTTTGATGATTTTTTTTAATATGGAAAATGTAATTATTCATCATTGAATCTCTGGAACCAATCATTATTGTGGATTATTTTACTTTGAAAACACTTTCATAATAAAGATAAGTATTAAAAATGTATGAGTGACTATCCTTCTCTATTAGGTGGAAACATGCTAATCTTTGCAGGGTCTTTACATACCTTCCTGGGAGTGAGAAATGATGAATATGCAGTGCTGAAATGGGAGTCACCAGACCTAAGTTTGAATCCTGTCTCCTGACACAGACCGCATGAGTGACTCTGGTCAATTCACTTAATCTCTATGTTCTGTAAGTTCCCTTATCCCTAAAATGAGAATGTTATGCTTAATAATTTATGATCCTAAGTGATTTAGTTTACGATACACATTCTCACAGTCATTTCAATGCACTCATTGTTGGAAAGGTATTTTCACATTTCCTTATGATGCAATACAAAACTTCTTCAAAATTCAGAACATAAACCTCAAAGTGAAA